TTTTTTTTTCTTCTTCTTCTTATTTGAAGTATTAAAGATAATTCATGGTTAAAAATACAGTATAATATAAATAATTTTAAAAGATATATTGATAACTGTTAAATAAATCTATTTAAAAATGTTAAATAAATTTATTTTATTTTATATTATAAATATTTTTTATGTAAGAAACTATTGTCTTGTCTGTCTTCATTGCCTCGAGATCTGTAAAACAATTGGGTTAGCTTTTGGCATATATGAAGCTGTCCAATGATTAGCCCTCCTTAGGGAGGAGATGAGGATAATGTAGTGTCCTCGAACAAACCAACAGATTCTCAAAAATCTAACAGCAGTGAATTTGTATCCAGAGTCAGTGAACCCTTTTCTTTTCTTTTTCTTTCGTTTTTTAGTTGGAGGGTCCCTGTTAGAATCAATTTACTAATATTTTAATTAATTTTTTTTCTTATTTTAGTTAAAAATAGATCATTTACGTCAAAATTAAAATATTTATAAAAAATAAATTTTTCATAACTTAATCCCAAAAAACAATAAATTTAAAAATTTTAAATTTATAATTCGTTTTTATTATGTTGAAACACTTTCTTATCTATCTCCATAATGACATCCCTATGCACCACCGCTTTATAGTCCGTCCGTCTGTCTGTCTGTATGTCTCCATCCCAACGAGGCTAAGAAATATGTCTATTTATAATTTCTGAAGAATTTTAAGTCAATGGACCTTACTCAATGCGCATCACTAAGCACACTCAGTGAGGCGTGTTTAGAACTTTTCACAAAGCTATCCCCAAATATCAAGACCGACTCTTTCTCTCACCCCAACGCCTAATCATCGTCCTTCACACAATTCCTCTGGTTCTTTCAATGGCAACCATGACAAAAGAAATCAGCTCTCTCCCAAACTCAAAACTACATGAATTTATAATATTTATCAATCTTATTGCTGCCCCCAAACTGAATTAACAGAAGAAAGACCACTAACACAGACAAACCAAGCATGGGTGGCTCAAGCCAATTTGAGGTTTAAAGTGAAAATATTAAATAGAGGTATTTTTATTTTTAGTATTATTTTTTTAAAAAAATTAATTTATTTTTAATTTTTTATGTGAGAGGGAGTCAAAAGAAGGATGTGTTAATATTGTCAAGAAAGATATTTCAATTTTTGTTTTTTTATTACAGAGAGGAAGAGAGTATTTAATTTCAACTTTTGTTTTTTGTTTTTATCGGAAAGAGAGAGAGAGAGAGAGAGAGTAGGTGACAGTAAATATGAGTTGAGTATTTTTTATTTTTTTATTTTTAAATTTTTAATGTTATGAATTGGATTATAGACCTAAATTATTGCAATAAAAATTTTGATTGGATTTAATTTTTTGGGACTTTTTTGTAAGGCTTAAAGTTTAATAAATTTTAATTTTTTTGTGGACTAGTGATGTACCTAAAATTATGAGCCATTTTAAAAATTTAGAACCTAAAACCCATATTTTTTTATTTTTTTTTCGTTGGATCGGCCCTGAAACGAAGCACTCCTTGAAATGGAAAGATAACACAAGGAAGGTGTTATGAACTCATTGTACGGTTTGTCCCAGAAAATTGGCTTCTTAGTGAAAGGTATCTAAGATTTTACATTCACACATGTAATCTTATTTTTAATTGATGTGAGATCGTAACATTTTACCACGCTTCCATAGCCAACATCCTCGACCGGCCCTCTTTATCGACACTAATTCAACGATAACCTTTTATCTATGACAGTTTTACTCACTTATCAGTATTTAATGAAATAACAATATATTCATATATTATACCAGTATTTAATGAAATAACAATATATTTATATATTATATCAAGTCATCTTAATCCGACCTATGTTAACCAAAGTATATATAATATTATATGTTACCTACTAACTATATAAAGCAACCGAATTTTTAAATCTATCTTAAGATTGTTATCCAAAATATATACAATCAATTTAAGGAACTAATTATCATAGTAAAATCTAAATCTACTAAGTATACTATTATATGCAAACAATTTAATTAAAAAGAGAACGTTAAAAAAATAGAAACTAAAATACACTTACAGTGACACAGAATTGGACTAAAAATAAAAATTCAAAAAGTCAGAATCCAGAAATAATAATAATTCGAGCCCTATATAATTACAGTTTCCTTAAAACATATTTGTTCCCTCTTGGTGTTTAAGGTTGATAAGCAACTGTCTCCTTCCAAAATAGAACGTATTTCGTTCTTAAAGATACAACACTTTAATCTTCAAGATTTCAACGAATACAGATTTGTATTTTGTACTTGAACCTCTTAGAAAGAACAATGTAGCAGAGAGAGAGAGACAAAGAAAGAGGGGGAAGAAATATTGAATACAAAATTCAGAATTAGGATAATTGAGAGAAGTAGAATGAGAGAGCAATTATAGTAATAAATAAGAATTGTTCAATGATTTGATTTGAGAGTGCAATGCATTACCTATATATAGACTCACTAATGATTTTTCATAAAGGGTGCAACAATTTATAATAATGTCTTTTAGTTCAAATGGTATGAATAGTGATTTTATGAAATGGTCTCATACAATTCAAGAGATATCAATGATGATTTTATGAAAAATTGTGACAATTTATAATGGTATATTTTAACTAAAAGATGTTAATGATGGCTTTAAGAAGGGATGTAACCATTTGGATTGGTGTCTTTAATCCAAAGTTACCAATTTTGAACTAGTAGACTTTCATGTCATCTTTACTTCACACTTTTCCCATTTCTCCCAAAAGTCACAAAAATATTTTAACAATTTCTCATTCAATATTTAATAGTTTTAAACAAATAAATATCAAAATTATTTAAAACCATTATTTCCAGCTGCCTATAAGTTGCCCCTTCCACAATTCGACCACAAAGAGTCGTAACTTACACTGAGTTCGATTTCATACTTGACGTAGTGGCTAATTTTACCAATTGTTATGAACTCATGAATAGAACTTGTCCCTGACAATGAATTTGTAAAAAAAAGGTACCTAATAGTTCATATACACACATCTAATTTTATTTTTAACTGACGTGAGATCATAGCACAAGGCAATAATTGTTAACTAGTGTAATTATGTTGGGTCGATTTGGGTTTGTATTGATTATTATGTGTGTGTTAACTTCTAGTTTTTAGTTTAGTTTACCATAACGATGGTGGTTATGCATCACCGCCGATGGTGGCAACGTTGCGACAGGGCATGTGATGGTCATGGTGAGTGTGGTGAAATTTTTGTGTTGAGTAAACAGTGACGGTGCTTCCGATGAAGGCCATGGCATTGTGTTAACTTAACAAATTTTTGGAGAATTGTTTAAGTCAGATGATTTTCTAGGAGGTTCATTAGTTCCTTTTGTAGAAGTAATTATGGGTATCAAATATCAAAGGTGATATTTCTGAAAATTTAATCGATAATTTGTTTGTAATCAATAGAATTTTTAAATTAGTTTTATTTTTATGTTTCATAGGTATTGATGGTGACTAAACTTTATTTTTTGAACTATATAAACATTACCTTTAACAAAGAATTCCAAAAGTAAAGGTTGGAAGGCTATAAATTTATTAATTTTCATAATTCCCTATTTACGTTGATTACACATTTTGATTCAATTCAATATTTAAATTTTGGTACATGTTAAAAAAAATAGGGTTAATCTCATTTTGCACTCCGAAAGATTGTTTGAATCTTAATTTGTACCCTCAAAAATTAAAAATTTTAATTTATACCCTCAAAGATAGAAATTTGTATCAATGTGCACCTAAAACTAAATTGATAAATTATACTTAGATCCCCTCATACTTGTCACTTAATCATTTAGACCTTTTTACATTTAGAATATTATTCCTACATTTTATGACATTTGTGCACGTATAACATGTAACCCATTTTCATTGATATCTATTAATATAACCGTTAAAAAATAAAATTTTATCCTAATAAAAAATTATAATTTCATATTACCCTTTATTTTATGGGTTCAATATATTCTAAAGTTCAAAATCTAGTTTACCATTTGAATGTCTAATAAAATGTAAATATTTATATAATGTTTTTCATATTACCTTTTATATAAATATATACATTTTATTAGACATTCAAATGGTAAGCTTGATTTTCAACTTTAGAGTATATCGAATCCACAAAATAAAAGGTAATATGAAATTATAATTTTTTATTAGGATAAAATCATATTTTTTAACGATTATATTAACAGATATCAACGAAAAGTGGTTATGTGTTACACATGTACAAACGTCATGAGATGTAAGGAGAATATTTTAAATGTAAAGGAGTTCAAATGATTAAGTAACAAACATGAGGGGATCTATGTATAATTTATCAATTTAATTTTAGGTACACATTGATACAAATTTCTATCTTTGAGGGTGCAAATTGAAATTTTTTTATCTTTGGGGATATACATTGATACAAATTTCTATCTTTGAGGGTATAAATTGAGATTTTTGATCTTTGGGGGTACAAATTAAAATTTGAACAATCTTTTAGGGTACAAAATGAGATTAACCCAAACAAATATTCAAATTAAAAAATTAAACATTTAATTTCCAATTATATCAAACACAACATTCATGCCTAACCTTTCCTCACATTTTGTTTCAATTGTGACCATTTCCCCTTTTTTTTTCCAGTTTTTCTGAACTGTTTTTGTTACAAGATGTCCAACCTTACACCGACTACTCCCTCGAATTGAGTTAAAACATATCCCTAAGGATACAAGGATGACTTATTCTTCAAAAGTGTAAGAAAGAATTAAACTTTAGATCTCTGAATTACCATAAACCAAACTCAACTACTAAACCACTCTTAAAAGTTTCAATTTCTTTAAGCTGCCACTTGAACTCATGCAATGATCAGAGTTCTTTTCTTGTCAATATATATATTTTTTTCCATTTTTTTGGGGAGGGAGAGGGGAAAGGGGACTCGAACCTTTGACTTCAAGAAGACGAAGTCTTTATAAGATAAAGAGTACCATTAGACCAAATCATTTTACAACAATTTTGTTGCAAAAACAAGATTGACATTGCAGATGTCATGTATTTCATTTTCATATATATATGATTTAAAGCGGAAGCGAATATTGTTACAACAACATTCAACAATTTCGGGCACCGGTCAAGTTTGGAAAGGGCCAAATTGTGCATTAGAAGCTGTAACTATGTAGTCTTCAATACCAGTCATCTTCTACATGTATCAAAAACTGGCCTCTTCTGTTGTCGGTCGCCTCAAGAAGTATCGCAAACTATTAGCAAGGACCTGTCAAGATTGATGAGGAACAATGAGAGTGACACCAACACGAAAAACGTTATATATAAAGCCTAACGAGATAAGTAAGATTGGGTGCCAATTCAAGTTTCAGTGAACACCAAATCATAGATGTGATAGTCTGATTTACCAGTTGAAGAGGCTTGCTGATAGGTTTTCCCTTGTAGCTGACATGAAACTTTGCCTTGGCCAACAAACCCTAGGTGCCAAAAACCAAAACTGTGACCCATTGTTCCTATTGCAATTCATAATGCTGCTATAATATTCTAATGCATGAAACATAGCTTACTGAAGGAACAACCATTACCTCAGTGTCAAACTCTCCTGATTTGACGGTAATGTCAATGTCAGTGATGTTCTTTACGAGATCCACTAGTAATCCAGGGCGATCTGCCGTCTCCACAGAGAGCAAGCTGCAATGTAGCAATCAAAATCCTGAGTTCATTTTTTCACAGCATTTCTTGTTCAAGGATATACTGGTTGATAAACATGAAAGCAGGGAATTCTTATGTCAGCCTTGACAATAATTGTATGTAGTGGGTCACTAGTTATTTGGTGGACAATGCCCAATCATAGTGAGAAACAAACCAAAAATGCATTACCTTTGGTCGGGGCCATCGTCATAGACGTTGATGTGAGTAGCAATGTCCATATCAATCTGACCAATTCAACAACAAAAAAGTGCAAGAATGATTAACTTCCATGAATTGTGAAACCACACACATGGATAGAAAAGATTGAAAGTTTGCATCATAATTGTATTATAGAAAGCAATGTAACTTTCAATGGGTGATTAAGACTAGGGATATATGTGGGCTACTAATCAGCATCCATTACTTCCTTGTATTTGATATACTAACAAAGACATCAAATCATGAATGATCCTACACTAACTTGTCCACCTTTTTTTTACATTCTTTTTGCGAACAAATTGTTTGTTCCACACACACAAACAATCAGAGAACTAATAACTCCAGTAAAAATGACAGCACATTGCACAAGACTCCCACTACTACTATTTTACCATGAATATAAGCCAAATTATGTGTTACATGGAATATCTGTCATACAAAGGGGAAAGGGTTCAGAACCTTCTGTGTTGGTGGCAATACTCCAAATGCTGCTCCCATTGCTAACTGGGCACTTGACTCCTGGAACACCAATTCAACACATTCAAGAAGCTTACACGGAGAGAGAAATCCCATAACAGGTGATGCATCAGGTATTGCCTGAAGCATAGGAACTTATATGAGAGAAGGAATACCGGATGATACTCCAGGAGATTGTTAATTATAGTCAAACGGATTGCCTCAAGTAATTCTGGATCCTCAACTTTTCTACCGGTAGCACTGCACACAAGCCCCATGACTAAAAGTAAATCCGAATCACTGTGCTAATGATTAAATATCTTGAATTCAACATATTTTGAACAAATGATGTCATCACACATAAAACACCAAAAATTCCTATACAAAATCATATTGGGATACCACAAACTTATCCGTTACCACTCATCACTATGTCTGTATCTTGATATGTGTGCAAGCTTCATAAAGAAATCTATTTTGTGCATACAGTTATTAAGCACTTTTAGTCCAGCTTAGCATAAAATTAGCTAAAGAAGTAACTTGAGCACCGATACACTTCACTCTTTGATGATTCACATTGCAAATTTGTCCTGAATACAGAGTCAAAATCAGTAAAAATACAAGAAGCCAACTTCTACAAAAAAAAATTTTAGTGTATAGAATCATAGAACCTTTCTCGACTTGGAAATGATCTTCTATAACAAAAATAGCTACTCTAGAAGAAAGCCCTTTTTCATCTTTCAACCTGGCTAAAAGAGCAATTAAAGGTAGGTTGCTGCCTTCTTATGGCTTGCGCTAAGGAGAGCGCACCACTTTCGGTGATCCCTTTCTTTGCAAGTTTGAATTCATTGGGAGCCAAGGGCTCAAAGAGGCAGAAGCTCATAGAAGCCCCACAAGTGCGATAGACCGCAGGCTTTATCATTCTTTGATTCCTTTCTTTAAATAGTTCTTCCTTTCCTCTAGTACTGTACTTATGGCGCAATCAGTTTAAGCAATATCTGTCTTAAATAATTCTCTTCCTTATTCTCTGTCTAGTACTTCTTTTCTAGGAACTGTCTGAAAGTAGAAGCATAGGAGCCAGTCGAGTGCAGTTCAAATGCAAACAAAGCAACTTCTCCCTTGGGGAGTGTGCGGGGCGCAATAGATGACTTCTTGATTTTGGTCCACTGTGTTGTCTTCTGAATCTAATAGTAGGTGTAGTGGTGTGTGCTTAAAGACAATTAGGAAGTCTAAGAGAGTGTAATGGGCACTGGAGATTCTTTTATCTGTGAGTTCCGCTGTTCTGTGTCGTACTTGTTCTCTTCCGAAAACAGAAGACATTTAGCCCGTAATATAGAGTGTACTTGTTGATTCACAAGCATTTTGTTATAAAATAACTAGCTTGATAGGAAGGATCAAATAGAAATATATCATGCTATTCAATGACTCACCTACAGGATTGATTCCCAGAAAACTAAATGAAATAAAATCACTGCTTTCAACTCAAAGTTATGAACAGAAGCAACAAATTAAACAGAGGCACCTAATGCATAAACTGAAAACCTAGATGTGTATGTACAGCCTAAAACTTACGCTTTAGTGATGGCAAACTTGTTGTGCTTCCCAGAAGAATCCAGATAGACATTTGCCTTGACAACATTCAATCCAAGGTTCTTGAGTGCATTCATCTGCAATGCAATTGCTTATCAGACATCAGTTATGAAATATATTCCGCCAAATTGATGTAAGATGCAATTACCCTGGTTGCATCAATTTAAAACTCATACAAGAGACAACACAAAAAGTTCAGTTAGAAAGTATATAGCTGTCATACGGTGTCAAGAAGAGCTCCAAGGCGATCCCCAAAGGTAATCTCGACCACAGTGGCATCTGGGTCTGAATCTTGGTCTATTATAACTTTGGGTGTTGGAACTGTATCAGTATCCTGATAACTTTCACCCTGCTTACCACCTCACACCAATCAACATTGAATACACTTAACTGATAAACAGGAGAATCAGGCACAATAACATGCAAAGACACAATTGCACATCATTTAGTATTGCTTGATACCTCCACAGCTGTGGCCGACGATGCTTCTGGAACAATTGTACTTATGGACGATGACAATCTGACGCAAACCATGCGCAAATTAGCAGAAAAGGATGGCAATCTAAAATCCCTTAACTCATAAACATACACTAACAAATGAGATGTGGACCTTGGAAGTACTGTAAGATATGGAAGGATCACTATATTACCCCATTAAGTGTGCTGAACACAAATTTAAGCAATTAAAACTGGGTGGGGCTATTCCCATCCTCAAAATGTCCATCTCCACCGTCATTAACCTCCCTAATATCCTCGAAAAGAGAGCTATTATTTCCAATCCATTCTATTGCCACCCCATTAGTGATAGTTTTAGACTATATCTACTTCATAGTTTTAGACAATATCTACTTTGTTAAAGACGAGTATGATCAGACTTTATTTTTCCCTTTTCACATTCTGGCAGATGAATATATTGTCGAAGTATACAGTGAAGAAATCCATTTCAACACTGCTGAACTAAATCTCAGCCACACACTGGGGTTGGAATTATCTAAGATTCATGGTTGATGACAGGAAAAACCAATATCTCAATTAGAAAGAAAAATGAGAGTTTGTACTTGTAGTCAAATAATTGTCCAAATTATTATCTCAACTTAACAAGTCCTATCCCGTAAATAGGAAAAAGGAAGTGCTTATAAGTCTAAAAATATGAAAAGAAACACAGGAAAAAGAAAAAAAAAGCTTATAAAGTTAAGCAATAAGACATGAATTTCAATTCTTCTAGACAAATATTACCAAACAAAATGTCAAATGGAAAAACAACACCAGATTTAATTGCAAGTATGATAGATTAAATTCATATATCAGTCCCATGAATCAAACATAAGAGGTGTTTTTTCAACAATAAAAAAAAAGAAGCAAAATAACCCAGTATAATGTGAAAGATACCTTCTAAGCTGAGGAATCCTGGACAAATCACAAAATCAATATAGGGGGTCTAACAACAAATTAGGCGAATTGTCAAAAAGAAAACCAAACAACAACATTCTGTAACTTTATGTAATCATATCTCCTCATACCTTGTTCTTGGAGAAATGCATAAACGCTGAAGTGGATCCAGACCAAAAGACCCGCTGAGTAGACATGATCTTGAAATGGGTTGCTTTTCAAGTGCCTTCAAATTAGTGTAAAACCCAAAAGAAGTCCCAGAAGAAGCCATGGCCACAGCCATTTTCATACCCCCCAAACCAAAAAAACACTAGTAAAAGGAAAAAAATTAAGCTTAATAAAATGGGGTTTTTTTCCTTTTCTACTAGAGGAAGGAGAAGAAGAATAACATCACCAAGTTGAAGGGATGAGAATGAGAGTGGATATCGTGGGGACTATATTAATGGTTCCATTTGGCTAGTATGCAAGTAGGTGCGGGGTGGATATTGGTGTTCTAGTAATATCCGTCATCCTCAACAGAGAGAGTGCCTGTGAATTATGATAGTTATAGGCCTACTTGGTTTTCTCTTTTTTTCGAAAACTGAGCCTGAGAAATCAATCTTTCTATCCGATGCTAATGAGCTGATAATTGAACTGGGTTACTGGTTCAATTTGAATTCGATTCAAAGCTAGTTGAATTAAAATAATTTTTAGATTTTTTTTAGAATTGATTGGTTTATGTATAAAATAATCAAGTTGTTGGAATTTGATTCGGGCTCTAATTATTTTTTAAATGAATTAAATTTTAATAAATTTTTAAACTTATTTAAAAAAATGAGATTGACACATTGAGTTCGAACTCACAAAACTCATCGATTATCAGTTTTACCAGTACCATAAAAAAAAAAAATTGAGATAATTAATTTTAAATTAAACAATTTAAAATAAAAAATATAAATATGACGTGTTTTTATTGACCAAAAAATAAAAAATACGATTTCAGAATATCCGATGACACCTTACCTCATCTTCCACTACAGATTGGTAGTAATAGCGACTTGTTTGGTTAGGACATCACCTCCTAGGCAACCCACAAATTGTAAGATAGTAGTACTTTGACGTAAAGAATCGGGTATTGTGATGAAAAATTTATCTTTTCTGTATACTATATTAGTGGTTGTTCGGTGAAATTGACAATTTTTTTCCTCTTTCTCTTTTTCTTGCTCACCTTTTTTGGGCTTCCTCCTTTTTTGAAATCTACAATTGTCAAAAGTTACGGGGATTAAAATTAATTTTTGAGTAAATTCATATATGAGTCTCAAATTATAATTTTTATGTCAATTAAATTCTTCAATTTTTTTTGTTATGTCAATTGAGTCTCTAAACTCTCTAATTGTGTCAATTGAGCCCTCCTGCTTGTTTGCATTAAATTTTTTAACAGAAAATGACAAAGTATGTCACTCACGTGACACAAATGAATTGAAGTAAACTATGTATATTATCCTCAAGCTAGAACTTTATGTTAATTAAGTCAGTAAACTTTTTTTATCAATTAAGCCCCTAAACTTTTTAATTGTATCAATTAGGTCCTTCTGTCTTTTTGTGCTATATGGTCAGGTAAAGGACACATTCTAAGGAAGACAAATAGAAACACTCAATTGATATAATTAGAGAGTTCAAGAACTCAAGTGACACAAAAAAAATTTAAAAACTTAATTGACACAAGAATTATAGTGTGAGAGTAATATGTGTAGTTTACTCTTAATTTTTCGAAGAAAGTTAAATAAAAGGTGATTAATTATTGAGAGAATGTAAGTGTAGTTATAGTGGTTGTGGACTAATTGTTGGTATGCTAATGTTTTCTTTTGTAATTAAATAAATAAAATTTTTAAGAATTTAAAAATGATTAAAGATCGTCTCATTTTCATTTTTTCTTATATCTTTTTTTTTTTTTTTTTGCAACTGTACGCAATCACTGGAGAAGTTGGCTAACCGTTATTAAATATTGTAGTAGAGTAAAATTAATTTTCTATGTATGTTTAAATAGAGGGTGGTTAGCGGAATTATAGTTAAATAAATCATAAATAAATGGTTTTACTTTGTTCAATTGTTGCAATTATGTAATCTTGATATTATTGTCCTTGTAAGTCCTCGATTGAATTTTTTTTTAAAAAGGCAAACTTCATTTTATCCTATGTGATATACCTTAAATGCACTTTTTATCCCTACGTTTTAAAAACCTCCACATAACCTTCACACGGTTAGTGGACTAAATTGCAATACTAACTCTGTTAATAGAAAATTTAAAATAACCTAAATACCCTAATCAGCACACACGCACTTCTGCAACCCACACAAAACAATCAATTATTCTAACCTAAAAAATCAACCTCTCTTTCTCATCCTTTTTCTGTTTGGAATAAAAATCAGGTGTGTGCAGTTTGTGTTCTATGTGTGTGTGTAAGTTTTGTTTTGTGTGTGTGGATGGGTGGGTGGGTGGGAGAGTGAGCTCTGCGTTGTATGGGTGGGTGTATTTGTGCTCTGTGTTGTGTGCGTGGGTGGCTGTGCTCTATGTTGTGTGGGTGGGTATGTGTGCTCTATGTGTGTGTGTGTGTGTGTGAGAGAGAGAGAGAGAGAGAGAGAACATGAGAGATTCCATCGGAGGAGTTGGGTTCAAAGAAGAAGACAAGGGTATTTTTACCTTCAAAATTTTAAAAAAAATTATTAACACACAGATTAACTCTCAGATCTTGCGCATGGGACACACCTCATTTTAAGTTGGATCGAAGATATGACATTGCATTTTAGTCCACTAATCGCATGAGGGTTACGTGGAGGTTTTTAAAATGCAGAGATAAAGTACATTTGGGGTATATCACCGCGTGGGGGGGGGGGGGGGGGGGGGGGGTTGGGTTCTGGGAGAGACAGATGTGCACAGCTTTACTCCCGCATAAGCAGAGACCTCTTTTGCGAAGCTAGGTCAATATAAAATAATCAGCATAAAGAAACTGTGGTGCTGATCAATTTTAAGGACTACCTTCTTAAAATCCATATTTGCAAACGGGCTACCAAGCTGCCAGGGCTGTGGATATTGATTGGTGCATAGTCTAACTAGAGAATTAATCTCAAGGGCTGCTACATACCATGGGACTTCATCTTGCACATTTCAAAACTCAAAACTTTTGTAATTATGCATCGTTAGATTTTAGTATTGTACCTGCAGAACTGTCACAGAAAACCGAAACCAGAAGATAATGTCATACTAACTCCACTTATACATGAGTCGCGAAACTATGGTTCCCATTTCCTATGCCTACAGGAGGGCCTGCAACAGAACACCTCAATATTCTTCTTTTGCCCCTTTCTAAGGACAGTTTTCCATGGTAGGAGGGGCTTTTGGCAAGGACTCGTACCTGTCCTTTTTTTTTTCTCGATTTTAATAAAAGAGGAAGACAATATATCATTAGATTGTTGTAGAGTGAAAAGCATCAAGAAAGCCACAGAGTTCTCTGCTTCTTTTCCTTCATATTTGAACATCCAAAATCTAATTCTAGAACATGCTTTTTTTAGTGCCGTCCTCTTAGGGAAAAATACAACAGAAAAAAAATGGACATTATAAAGTTGTTTACTCTTTGAAGATTGATACTTATTCTAATGAGCTTGTGGCTAGCTTCACTCTTCAATACAACTACTTGTTCAGGACAAAAGATATGCCAATTGGAAGAAATATTATAATCCAACAAG